CTGCAGGATACCCAATATTGTTTGTACCAAAGAAAAATGGCAAACTACGACTCTGCGTGGATTACCGACAACTCAACGATATTACAATCAAGAACTGCTACCCGCTACCTCTTATCTCAGAATTACGAGACCAGCTGTACCACGCCAAATGGTTCACAGCCATCGACCTCAAAGGAGCCTACAACCTGATCAGGATGAAGGAAGGCGAGGAGTGGAAGACTTGCTTCCGCACCAGGAAAGGCAACTTCGAGTATCTAGTCATGCCTTTCGGACTCACCAATGCACCCGCCACCTTCCAGACAATGATCAACCACGTCCTGAGAGAATTTATAGATGTGTTCGTTGTCGTCTACCTAGACGATATACTCATCTACTCTCGTACCCCCGAGGAACACGAGAAGCACGTTCACACCGTACTCCAACGACTACAAGAAGCCAAACTACTAGTCGAACCCGAAAAGAGCGTATTCCACAGTCAACGAGTCGACTTCTTAGGATTCACCATCACACCAGGAAAGATCCGGATGGAAAATGGAAAAATCGCGGCCGTCAAGGACTGGCCCCGACCTCAAAATGTCAAGGACATCCAATCCTTTTTGGGATTCGTCAACTTTTACCGACGATTCCTCAAAGGATATTCCGCCAAAATCAACCCCCTCATCAAGCTCACCAGAAAGGACGTACCCTTCGAATGGACCGAAGAACAAGAAAAAGCCTTCGAAGAAGTCAAGCAACAAGTTTGTTCCGAACCAGTTCTGATAATCCCAGACCCAAGAAAACCCTTCGAACTGGAAACCGACGCTTCAGACTACGCCATCGGTGGACAACTCGGCCAACGCGACGATGAAGGAAAGCTACACCCTTGCGCTTTCTTCTCTCGAAAACTTAGCGGAGCCGAGCTCAATTACCAAATCCACGACAAGGAACTCATGGCAATTATCGAAGCTTTCCAAGAATGGAAACCTCAGTTATCCGGGACCAAACATGAAGTCAAGGTCTACACCGACCATAAGAACCTCACTCACTTCACCACCTCTAAAGTCCTCAACAAACGACAGATCAGATGGTCTGAATTCCTGTCAGAATTCAACTTCAGAATCATCTACGTCAAAGGATCTGAGAACGGAAGAGCTGATGCCCTAAGCCGAAGACCGGACCACGAAACCCCGGTACCAGAAGAAACCCAAGTCATCCTCAAGGAGGACAAGAACGGTGACCTTGTCCCAGCACAGAAACTCATTATGATCGGTACCCGTGTCAATACCAGCACGACTGGCAGGATGACACCTGAACAGATCATGGAGATTCATAGTGCTAGGGCCCACGGACACCAAGGAGTTACCAAAACATTTAAACGAATTCGACAACATTACGACGCACGAGTCACTCGAGCAGAAGTGGCTTCAGCAATCAAGGATTGCGACATGTGCAAGAAAAGCAAAAATAGTCCACACAAACCATACGGACAATTGCAACCACTACCAGCGCCACCAGAAGCGTGGCACTCAATCTCTTTGGACTTTATCGTCAAACTCCCCAAGTCAAAAGAACCACTCACGAAAACCTACTATGACAGCATATTGGTCATTGTCGACCGACTCACGAAATACGCATACTTCATCCCGTACTTAGAGTCAAGCACGGCAGAAGACCTAGCGTACGCGTTTTTGAAATACATCGTCAGCAACCACGGATTGCCCAAGGAAATCGTATCCGATAGAGACAAACTGTTCACATCCAAGTTTTGGAAATCCCTGATTTCGCAACTAGGAGCTGATCACAAGCTATCGACCGCTTTTCACCCACAAACCGATGGACAAACCGAACGAATCAACCAGATACTGGAACAGTATCTACGATGTTATGTCAACTACGACCAAGACAATTGGGTACCATTGCTTCCAATGGCCCAATTCGCCTATAACAGTGCTATAGGAGAAAGCACACTGAACTCCCCATTCTACCTGAATTACGGATTCGAGCCTACGGCATATGGAGAACCTCGACAGGGACCACGAGCACTAAAGGCTGTGGCAGATTACAACAAATTACGAGAAATCCAAGAGAATGCCACCAAAGATCTCGAATTTGTCAGGGCACGAATGAAGAAATACGCCAACACATCAAGGGTTGAGGGACCAACCTTTGAAGAGGAAGATAGCGCGTATCTTCTGCGACGCAACATCAAAACGAAAAGACCAAGTGACAAATTGGACTACAAAAAACTTGGACCTTTCAAAATCATTCAGAAAATCTCAGACGTCAACTTCAAACTCGACTTACCAGACACAATGAAGATACATCCAGTTTTTCATATCGCACTGCTTGAACCAGCACCGCGAGGATCAAACACCAACGACTGCATCATCGTGGAACCAAACGAACCGGAGTACGAAGTCGAACGAATCATTGACGAGCGAGAGGAAAACGGAGAAACACAATATCTTATTAAATGGAAAGGATACGGACACGAGGACAATTCATGGGAGCCAGTCAAGAACCTCCAACACTCCCAGCAACTCCTTCAGGACTATCGCGAGTCCCAGAACCCTCAGCCACGAAACCCTCAACAGGCAGCTCACCGAAGGACTGCCAGGACGGATCGCTAGGATCAAAAGACTCAAGGAAGGACAGGTCAATTGCACCAAAACCACCACTAGCCTGTACCTCGTGAACCGCCTCAACCACCGGATCGACGGGCGAATCCGCAGGCCACTCAGCAGCGGCCTCACGACCCCTCTTGAAAATCATCCGTTTCTCTTTACGTAAACGATCGAGCCGGGCAAGAGACGCATCCATCTCCGCCTGCGCAAGACGGAACAGTTCTGCTTGCTTTCGCAGTAACTCCGCCTTCTGACGAAGCAACTCTTCCTCCTGCTCTTCAGCCTTATCCAGACGATCGGCTTCATTCAGCAAACGATCCACTACGATCATTAGAAAGCCACACACCTCGGAACCACGAAAAACACTCACATTCGCAAATCGCATTATCATCCCCATCACAAGAGCGACCCCGGCGAGTACACTCTTGACACTTCTGGAAACCCGCAAGCATCTTGCAACGGATCCCCTTGGAACGACACCAACTACACGGCATTTCGATTTCAATTCCGTGTTCACGAATCCTCAAGGAATCCGCGAGACGGCGCTTGGTGGAAGAAGCCTTGCCAGATTTAAGAGTGTCTGACTCTGCCGCATTAGTCACCAACGACATGGTGGAAGAAAGATGAGAATGAGATAAACCCAGGGACAGCCCGCGGCGGGAACCCACTTACCTATATAGGTCTAAGGGGCTAGACCTTTGGAGGGGAGACCTGATGTTACGACCCAGGAAAGCGTTGGTTAACGTAACCACCTGGAACGAACCCACGAGGGACCAGGGGACATTCGGGCTCATGTATGCATGATCACGGCGCTTACGGGCAAGGGTCGGAACGGAAGAACTATGGACAGATCACGTGATGATAAGAAAGTGATCAAGAGATAAGGTGATCACTGGGAGCGATCACCAAGTGAGCAGCTCACCCCGGACCCACTCTAGTTGATCACCATCAACAGCATCACGATAGGGAGACATCAGTATATAGACAGGACTTGAGCCTGGGGCTCAAAGACTCTCCATAGCTCTTCAGCAATCAACTTCGTGATTCACTCTCTCATAAGTGACTCTTAGATTATCCTTCTGTTGTGAAGCTATAAAGCTATCTACGCCTAGACGTGCCTGACTGATCACCAGACACCAACAGACCAGCAAGATTACCAACAAGACTTACCTTACTGTTACCGAGTATCGACCTCAGCTGCCTATTAGCAGAAAACACCACTGTCGGATATCTGACCGTAACAGCTGTGGCGGTGATCTTGAAGGCTGTTTGGTACTGGTTCTGCCAATTACCATCACTTGAACCAGGGAATCGATTCGATAAATCAACATCATGGTTTGGACCGTTAGATGCACGACTCAAAAGCCGCTCCGTCTCTGTCGCAACGTTGCCAGGAGGGTTTGCCGAGTAACATGCCATGTTGGGTCATACACTGTTTGATCGTAAAAACAACACAAGGTATTGCTCTTGTTAAAATATAGAGGACAAGTGAAACGATTTCGAAGAGAGGGCACAACTGCGTTCCGCAAGGTGATTATGTCAAAGTAAGTTGCCCTGCCTCAAGTGCAATAGTTAATTTTCCTGGTGTTTGGTAGAATATCCCAATCCGGATGGAGACGCGGGCAATCCGCAATGACGCCCCAGCGTTGACAGGGTTGTCGGAAAAGCCTCGGGCCCAACTATCAACCATTCCTATTTAGGAACATGTGCCAACCTTTGGACAGGGTCCTTGCACGTTTCCCCAATAGCGCCGATCGCATCCACGGGATATATCCCGGTAACGGGAAATGTGTCGGGACATGAAACCGGTGGAACTACTAAGGCAAGTTGGCTGACATCCGGCGGCTATTGAGACACTAAGCAACGCAACATTGTTCTTGTAGAGCCTGATGCATAGCCATACCTAATGGCCCCTTGTCGGTGGGGTGAATTCATGTTGGGGATAAATCTAGGAAGAAAACACCATTGTAATACCGGTGTCAGAAATTCTTTGGTTCGCTGCTTTTGTCGAAAGGACATACACTGTGTTCAAATGGAAACAAGTCATGTTGTCGCAGAGTAACCACTAGGGTAGGAAAAGACAACTGGTACGAAAGGGGTTGATTCTAAGTTATGCTTTGCTTATTTCAAGATGTCTTTCACTCGCTGTATGCGCGTTGAATATCAAAGTCAGAGACATTCTCCGTTTCCTATTGTTTACAATACTTCCAGTACCGATCAACACTCTTCTCCCTAATTTGGCGTCCCCATTTGATCATAGCCAAGTAAGACGAGATCTGTGCCAGCGCAGCAAAGGCAGCAACCAGAAAAGCATTCTGATACCCCATGTTCTCAACCCATGGTGTTATACTGCAAATTGAGTGAGAAACTGGAACAGTGCTGATTTTAAATTAAGACTCACCCGTAGCTTACGGCAAAACTCATTGTGTTTCTGATGAGGATGACCGTAACAATTGCGTCCTCGCCGAGCGCCTTATAACAGTCGATACAATAGCTGATAGAGAGCTGGCTACCAGCTGTGATAGCAGCCCCAAAGACACCCATGGCGAACACAAGACCAAACCAAGGAACTTCATGGGCGGCGCCAACACCCCATAGAAGAAGTGCTCCTGGAATACATACCAATAGGGTAGTGAAGAGCCAGAGCCGGAATTCGGGCTCCATGATGCCTTTGTTCCGACGGGCCTTCCAGATAACAAATCTGTCCCCAAAGAGGCCAGAGTACACTGTACTGTAAAAATTCGTTAGTAAACGACTTCAGTATGATTATGATGCTTTCTTACCCTATGCCGACACCTATCAGGCAGGATATATACGAAAGCCCAACGATGCTTGCTCGGAAGTTGTATGGTGAGCTAGAAAGGATGAGGGATGCGGTACCGTTCAAGACGTTGAAATAACAAACGACAGACCCGTACATGAATCCAGAGAAGACAATAGACGGAAACGAGAAGTAAAGGAAGGGCCGAATCACCATCTCTACCAGTGAAGCTTCGTGGTTGATATCGCTATGTCGGAACATCTTGATCTTGCCCAGATAAGTTTTTTTCGACGCCGGGTTCGTGTCTGGACCTGGCACGCTAAGAACTGGGGCTACCTTGTCCGAGTCAGAAGCGTCCTTTGACCCTTTCTCAAGTGACGACGGTGTGTCGTCTACTTGGTACGGCTCGGCGGTCAACACGTCCAAGCGTTGGTAATTGGTCTCTTCCATCAAGAAAAAGCAGATGATGAACCCAGCGCCACAAAATATAGCGCACCAGTACTGTTATTCTTATCAGTACCTGCAAACGAGCCACTGCAGGTGGTGTCTTGGTCGTATCCTGAAGTGGGTGAACTCACAAGAACCCATTCCCATCCTTTACCATCGTTGATGAAACCAGCGATGACAGGCGCCAAGAAGTTGCTTCCGACAAGAAAAAGAGCATAAAATCCCATGTATGTGCCCCTCTCGTGCGTAAACCACTATACTGTGATTTTAGCAACCGCAATATGAAGATAGCAGTCAACATGGCTGTGTGAATCCACATACTACATCGGCGATGGATATTTCACAAAGTGACTCGATTGGAGCACCGATGGCCCCCTGTAACACCTTGTTTGCTATCCAGTTACTGCTGGTGGTTGCGTATGGCGCCCAAAGCATGATGGCCTATAGCGTTTGCAGTCAGCTTTCCCGTTATTTCCAGCATTGTTTGGTGACTTGTGAAGAGTCAGAGGCATCCTACCATGCTTCCCAGCAACGTAAACAAGTAAACCGGCCGTTTGCCGAATTTCTGGGCCAGGGGCTGCCATATTAAGCATCCCCAGCCAAATGCCAGAAACATATATCCAGTGCCCGAATTCAAGTCACCGAGGGTCAGTCCGGTAGCATCAGAAATAGGTATAAGAACAGAGTATATAGCGGCCGAAGCAATACCTATAGCGAGACAATAGCTGAGAGACGAAAGCTAGTCAGCGACAAGTAGATGAGCCCTAACCGCTATACGAAGACTCACACGCAGATACAAGCTAACAGCAGATATTTTCTTCGGCGGCTCCAGTTTAACGGGTCGTCAGGGTCGTTTGACGGCGTGGGGATAAGGACGATATCGCGGCCGCCGCTCTCGGCATGACGCGAAGCCATTGTTCCTTCAAGGTCAACCAAATGAACGGTTCCCGGAATGAATCCGAGTATTGCGGCCGATGACGGCGCATTCGACATCATATTGACCGTAATTGATTAAAATCTATAGTTTTGAAAGTGAGAGCAATTTCAAGTGCTGCAGCATAGTAGAAGTGGCAAAGATTGACTGGCAAGAACGCTGCATATAAAGAGACAAAGCCACCACCTATTTTATCTTTGGTCTTCTTTGGTTCTCAGGCTGATAAGGATGACGCAGTTGATGCTTTCTATGCAGGCAGTGCACCACGTTTTGAGCGTTGCAAAATTCCTCCCATAGGTCCCGTATTAGGACCGAGAATCAAGTTGATTTACCTGCGAATCACGATAAAGCGAAGCAAGCGCAGGGTGGGAACATGCCTATCTGCGATGGTACTTCGGGGCTACCCATCGCTGGCCAATTGCATCCAATTGCGAGCATATCTGATTGATATGGGTCGGCCCTTCGCTCTGGGGTAATCTCCACATCACCAAGTTAGGGAAACATGAAGATAATGGGGTAACTACCAGTCGCATCGCCTCCCAAAACAAGGCCACACAGCTCTGCACGGTGGTGCTACGGACGGACGGCCTGGATAAGTGATATCATGAGCATTTCTAGTAGCACTATCGCCAGTACTCAATGCATGTCCACTGTCCAAGAGGCTATGTGGAGCGACCATCGTCCATCGTCCAATCTTCTGCTTTTACGAGAGTTCGCATCATCGGCTAATTACTGTTGATTGCCAGGAATCTGACGAATCATACGCATTTACGACTGTAAGATAGGGCAGTGTTGATCACAACTTTGATAAGACCCATGTGGATGATGTTTCCTGTGACAAGATTATCATCTTTCAATGGTGTTTATAACAGCCCAAGAAGATTTTATCTGAGGTTGCTATGATCGACAAAAAATGACAAGACAGCTTGCACTGGGTGGTCCAGCAGCACTGACGCAACTGTCGACTGTTTCGAGGCGGCTGTTTCCTTGGATGCCTTGGCTGATGAGGGGAAATGTCTCAAACGATAAGGCAGGCTGTCGTCAGAATGTCTCGGCGATAACATGTCATCCAAGCACATACTCTTCGATTTTTAGCATCGATGGCATTGAACGAAGGCCCCTTATGTCTCCGATAGTCTCTCTTATAGATAACTACCCCCAAGTCAGTTGAGCATCAACACAAGGCCCCCACATTTTGACTTATTCTACTGATCCTACTCCCTCAACCAGTTTGATTTACAAACCTTGATCATGGGCTCGCTAGCACCAGCTTCATGGGAGGCGAAGGCTGAGAAGTGCAGGAAGATTCTCAAAGACTCACTTAATCCTAATTGGCTTCTCTCTTCAGACGAGCTGCCCCCACCAAACCAACTGAATGTCGCCAGCTTCATCGACACTTGCAAGCTGCTAACGCCGCGAGAGCAAGAGATCACAGCATGCAGTGGCAAAGACCTCGTTAGCCAGATGGCTGAAGGGAAGTTCACTGCTGTGGAGACTGTAACAGCTTTCCTCAAGCGTGCTCATGTAGGCCATCAGCTTGTCAACTTTGCGACCGAGTTTCTGGTAGATGACGCTCTGGCGGCCGCTGAAAAGCTGGACAAACATTTTAAAGAGACGGGAAGGGTCGTGGGTCCGTTGCACGGGTTGCCTATATCCATCAAGGAACATATTGGACTCAAGGGTCGCATATGTCACTCAGCTTACGTGGCTTGGACAGACAACGTTGCTCAGGAGGATGCTTTAGTGCTTCGTCTGGCTGCAAAAACCGGGGCTGTGTTCCACGTTCGTACGAACGTACCACAGAGTTGCATGGTAAGTCGAACTTACTTTGTTGTGTTGGAAGCAAAAGCGTGAACCATAGTCTAACTTCTGTCAATCTAGCATCTCGACTGCAGTAACCCCATCTATGGAACGACGGTTAACCCTTACAACCGAAACCTCACTTCAGGTGGCTCTAGTGGTGGCGAGGGCTCTTGTGTTGGACTTCGATGTTCAGTGTTGGGTCTTGGCACCGATATTGGAGGGTCTGTTCGTGCACCAGCCGCCTTTTGCGGCTCTTATGGTCTTCGTACGACCGCTTTGCGAAACCCTTATAAGGGTATATGTCTGCCAGGACTTGGACAAGAGAGTATTCGCTGTATCCTTGGTCCCTTGGCCAACAGTGTTGCAGACATTCAGCTTTTTGAAGATGCTGTTTTGAACCAAGAGCCGTGGGACGAGGAAACCTCACTAGTTCCTCTGCTTTGGAAAAAGATTGAACCGTATAAACCAGGACAGTTTACTGTTGGTGTTATCTGGGATGATGGGTAAGTGATCAGATACCTAACACGGCCACATTCGAGCTCTAACACCCTTGTCTGTAGTATGGTCCATCCTCACCCACCAGTTACCCGTGCTCTTGAATACGCAGCAAAGAAGTTGAAGGAAGCCGGCATCAAGGTCGTTGAATTTGAGCCATACAAGCACAGTGAAGGGGCCGAAATCATTGAGCTTCTTTACTTTCCTGACGCTGCTGCCACACAGAAAGAAGTCCTAGCACAAGGCGGCGAGCCGGTTGCGCCCCTCACGGATTGGGCATTTAACTATTCGAACCCGGAGCCGCTCTCGATTCGTGAAAACTGGGAGTTGAACCTTCGACGAGAAGCTTTCCGCGAAGAGTAGGAGATCCTTATTTCAGCACTCTAACTACTGCTTTGCTAACACGACTCGCTACACAGTTACCATCGTGTAATGAAGGAACGTGGTGTAGACTTTATTCTCTGCCCAGCTTACGTTGGAGCTGCAGCTAAGTGTGGTACTGCTCAGTATTGGCACTATACGACGATTTGGAATATTTTGGATCAACCTAGCATCACGTTTCCGACCGGTCTACACGTTGATTCTTCAGTTGATGTTGCAGACAAGGAATATAAACCGCGCTCGGCTACAGACGAAAGAGAATATAAGAAGTGTAAGTCTATCAAACTCTCAGCTCTTGAGAAGAGTTATCAATAACGTTTCCCCCATACCAATAGATATCCCAGAAGATTTTGTGGATGCACCTATTGCATTGCAACTTGCTGGAAAGCACTTTCGTGATGAAGAGACTGTGGCCGCGGTAGATTTAATTGCAAGGATTGTTCGGGGATAGTGCGGTTGTTAGTAGCCTGTGACTATCAAACAAAGTTTGGCTTTAGCTACCCAGAATGACAATCGCCCCGTATGAGTGTCCCTTTGACTGTCGAATGTATACATTCTTTTAACAGTCGGATCTGCCCTCTTCTCCTTCTTCTTCTTCTCCTCCAGTAATTACTGGCACAATGACATATTGTAGTTTGAGAAGTCCTGCGCATTATTCAGGCTTCTTGACTTATGGCGGCCATCAACACGGGCGCTAACACAGAAATAACCCCGAACTTACCAGGTTATGGCTTGTAGTTAATGAATGTTGCGCAGCAGGACCCCGCATCATGGCGTCCCAGATGTTGATAAGCCGACCCACTGGAGAGGTATATTATGAGGATATTACGCATGCGGGGTTCCGTAACAGGTATCTCTGATAACAGCGTGCTGGGCCTGGCCTCCTGTCACAAAGAAAGCGCATGTTGTCTCCTGCGGATACTTGTCGCCGGGGACTTTACAGTCAAACAGTCTCTATCAGCGTCTTGCCCTGGGAATCCACGTATCAGTACGATGACCAAGGCTAAGTTACGGACTAAGACGGGATGCTCTACCTGTAGGTATCCCGCTCACACACTTTCGGGGCCGTCGCTGTATGACGTCTTGCTAACCGCAACGTAGGCAGGAAGAGGAGAGTCAAATGCGGAGAAGAGAGACCACAGTGTCGCAATTGCATTGGATCTGTTCGACAATGTGTCTGGCCAACTCTGAATGAAATGTATGACCGTAGGCATCGGTCTCGTCGTTCTTTTTCGGACGAAAGTAGCTTGCCGTTACCTCCTTGGTGCAAAGATGGCTCCGCAATATTGCCACTGGTGGAAGTAAGACCAGCATCCGAGCTTGAGCAGGAGCTTACGCACCACTATCTCAACATCTTTCTCTCCGTCTTATTGCTTCCAACAGTAAGGGAAACCGACCTTGGGGGATACGGATCGCAAGTTATGAGCATGATGATGCAATCAGAAAGCGTTAGATGCGCCGTTTTTGCAGCGTGTGCTTCGAACAAGTATATGCTTCTCCGAGATCGACGATATCACGATGCTGCACTGGGCTACTACTTCCGAGCTGTGGAGCTGGTCAACCGTACACTTGATAAGCTCGGGTCATCAGGAAATGCTCCAGATGATCCCTGTTAACCAGTGTGGTATATCTATATCTCTATGATGTAAGTATATCTTCGTATACTTCGAGTTCTCTGCCCATTTAGTTGAAGAACCTAACGTAGTTTCAATTAGATGTGGGGGCCACCTGATAAGACTCTGGATGCAAGGAAGCACGTCGATGGAGCTGTGAGTCTGCTCAAGCTGCGATACGAGGACATGGGGTCGCCTATGTCAATGGCCCAGCCACTTCATCGGGTCAACACAGAAAGCGTGCTTTACCAAGCATTCCTCCTCTCTATGCGGAAGCCCTTCGCACCTAACTTCCACATGGACGCACAGTTTCTAGCCCGGTCGGAAAACGTACTTAACGCACAAAGCCTCCTGGACATCTTACCCGAAGACTCAAGTCCAGTCTTGGGCTTGCCCCTGCCTCTCTATCGCCTCATTACAGAATTGATCGACTTCCTAAACTCACCGAAATATCCCAGTTTTCAATTCCTCACCCAGCTGAAAGAGGAAATAGACACATGGGAAGGCTTAATTCTAATCAATGGCGAATTCGAAAACACCTTTTCGATGACGACTAGCTTTCATAAAGATGCTGTTGCTCTTTTCGTTCTCGGTGCGTCGCTTTTGCTAGATCATATCATCGAGATGTCTACATCAAATTCTTCCTCTGAGTTCGCATCCATCGGAGATCTTGTAGTTCGCGATAGGGTCTCAGAAAGTTCGAGACCGCCTCGATGGCAAGTAAAACGAGCGTTCGGCATTCTACGACGGCCGGCTGCGTACGAAACATGGACTCGATGCTTTCTTGGGGCTTGGCCGATGTTTATCTTGGGTTATTCTGTAACTTCAGCAGAAGACATTGCCCTGATTCGGCGTCTACTTGATCAAATGAGAGAAAAAATGGGATATGGAGAAATACAGAGAATTATCGATGATCTGGAAGCAGTATGGAGATGGCGGGCAGAAGGCAACAAAGAAGCTGATCCATCGTCATATCATGATGAAGATGAAAAGAAGAGGCTGTCATACTTCATTTAGCATCAGAGAATAAAAAAAGGCAAGGACAATAAATTAAATAAAAATAAGTGACTCTTCGAAATCATTCACAGAATCATTGAGGTAAGTCAGGATACCCACTTTCGGATCACCCCCACATCCGGATCGCACAAAAACGAAGCTATCGCAACACAACCACCCTTTTCAATTAACTATCGCCTAGGCCCAGATGCAACTATGATACAGCTTTCTGCTTCACTAGGGCAATCAGATGCGCTGGATTCATCTGTGCCACTTTCAGCTTCGCCAGCCTTGATCTAGGCTTGCCGTATATCGCTGATATTAGCAAACTTAGTATTAAGGTCAATTTTAACAGTCTTCCTCTTCCTTGCTATAGTATTATTAACTTAGGCCTATAAAAGCTATAATTGGTGCTAGGCAATAGCTAGCTAAAAGGACTACTCTTAGAAGCCTTTTTTGACCTTTCTAAATAATTAGCGTTATATAACAATACTTTAATCCATCTTGTTGAATAAGTCTAGTTAACTATTAAGATCCCTTATCTTCTTAGGCATAGACCACGCAACAGCAAATATAGCAGATGCCTATCCCTCTATACCCTAGGCATCCTGGGCATCTTAGATACCCTGGATACCTTAGGCAGCCTTATTAAGTGGTGTTATTGGTGCTTTTGCCTTAGGCAATAACAAGGAGCTTAAAAGAGGTTTAGATATATTAACAAGCTATAATCCTATACCTATCCAGCCACTTAGAATATTCTTTTTTATTAGCCTAAATAAGTATACCTACTAGTAACAAGATATAAAGTACCTTTTACCTACTATAGTTAAATTATTCTATTAGTTAAGGTTAAGCTAAAGCTTTTTGTAATAAGCTAACTTAACTAGGCTAAAAACTAATAGATCTAGTAACTAGAAGACATAGGAAGTATATAGTAGCAAGAATAACAAATAAACGTTATTAATATAGTATTACCACATAAATTCTATCGTTATATAGCTCCTATACCTATCCAAGACCAGCAATCTAGCCTAATCAGGCTAGAAGAAAGCAATTTATAGCAAAAAGACCTTTAGTAGCTACTTAACAATAGTCTTATTAGTTGTCTATCCATTCTCTATTACCATAAACTCCCATCCATCATAAGGGCCAAGATCTAGAGGAAACCACTACTACTAGACTATTGTTACGGTCAGATATCCGACAGTGGTGTTTTCTGCTAATAGGCAGCTGAGGTCGATACTCGGTAACAGTAAGGTAAGTCTTGTTGGTAATCTTGCTGGTCTGTTGGTGTCTGGTGATCAGTCAGGCACGTCTAGGCGTAGATAGCTTTATAGCTTCACAACAGAAGGATAATCTAAGAGTCACTTATGAGAGAGTGAATCACGAAGTTGATTGCTGAAGAGCTATGGAGAGTCTTTGAGCCCCAGGCTCAAGTCCTGTCTATATACTGATGTCTCCCTATCGTGATGCTGTTGATGGTGATCAACTAGAGTGGGTCCGGGGTGAGCTGCTCACTTGGTGATCGCTCCCAGTGATCACCTTATCTCTTGATCACTTTCTTATCATCACGTGATCTGTCCATAGTTCTTCCGTTCCGACCCTTGCCCGTAAGCGCCGTGATCATGCATACATGAGCCCGAATGTCCCCTGGTCCCTCGTGGGTTCGTTCCAGGTGGTTACGTTAACCAACGCTTTCCTGGGTCGTAACATCAGGTCTCCCCTCCAAAGGTCTAGCCCCTTAGACCTATATAGGTAAGTGGGTTCCCGCCGCGGGCTGTCCCTGGGTTTATCTCATTCTCATCTTTCTTCCACCATGTCGTTGGTGACTAATGCGGCAGAGTCAGACACTCTTAAATCTGGCAAGGCTTCTTCCACCAAGCGCCGTCTCGCGGATTCCTTGAGGATTCGTGAACACGGAATTGAAATCGAAATGCCGTGTAGTTGGTGTCGTTCCAAGGGGATCCGTTGCAAGATGCTTGCGGGTTTCCAGAAGTGTCAAGAGTGTACTCGCCGGGGTCGCTCTTGTGATGGGGATGATAATGCGATTTGCGAATGTGAGTGTTTTTCGTGGTTCCGAGGTGTGTGGCTTTCTAATGATCGTAGTGGATCGTTTGCTGAATGAAGCCGATCGTCTGGATAAGGCTGAAGAGCAGGAGGAAGAGTTGCTTCGTCAGAAGGCGGAGTTACTGCGAAAGCAAGCAGAACTGTTCCGTCTTGCGCAGGCGGAGATGGATGCGTCTCTTGCCCGGCTCGATCGTTTACGTAAAGAGAAACGGATGATTTTCAAGAGGGGTCGTGAGGCCGCTGCTGAGTGGCCTGCGGATTCGCCCGTCGATCCGGTGGTTGAGGCGGTTCACGAGGTACAGGCTAGTGGTGGTTTTGGTGCAATTGACCTGTCCTTCCTTGAGTCTTTTGATCCTAGCGATCCGTCCTGGCAGTCCTTCGGTGAGCTGCCTGTTGAGGGTTTCGTGGCTGAGGGTTCTGGGACTCGCGATAGTCCTGAAGGAGTTGCTGGGAGTGTTGGAGGTTCTTGACTGGCTCCCATGAATTGTCCTCGTGTCCGTATCCTTTCCATTTAATAAGATATTGTGTTTCTCCGTTTTCCTCTCGCTCGTCAATGATTCGTTCGACTTCGTACTCCGGTTCGTTTGGTTCCACGATGATGCAGTCGTTGGTGTTTGATCCTCGCGGTGCTGGTTCAAGCAGTGCGATATGAAAAACTGGATGTATCTTCATTGTGTCTGGTAAGTCGAGTTTGAAGTTGACGTCTGAGATTTTCTGAATGATTTTGAAAGGTCCAAGTTTTTTGTAGTCCAATTTGTCACTTGGTCTTTTCGTT